AGAACCACATGGAGTAATTGTAAGGTGGAAACAACACAGCATGCACCCTAAGAAGTGTTTTCCATTCAATCTAAATTATTAGCTACAACATGCACCCTTGAGTGTACTGTTGTTTTAAAAATTCAAAGTTTCATGTTACTGCATCTAAATTCCAAACAACATAAAAACCAAATGCATGCACTGAGTTCAATAAATGATGTATAATTAATTCTCAATTTCAAAACAAGCATAATCGGATATGATATTATAAAGCTACATATCAAATAACATATAATTGCAACAATAGTATGCATATTATCTAATTTCCAGCAACAAATATCATTTGATTTCAAGAAACAAATACAAAAAGGAGTTCGCTTTTGCTTCCAGTCTAGCAAAAAATGCATTTGATTTATATCATACATATCAAATAACATATAATTGTAGCAATACTATGAATCTTATCTGATTTTCTAATTTCCAGCAACAAATATCATTTGTTTTCAAGAAACAAATACCATATGTTTCCGTTTTTGCTTCCAATTCAGAAAAAATCACATTTGATTTCATATCCTACATATCAAAGAACATGTAATTGCAGCAATACTATGTATATTATCCGATTTCTAGAAACAAATATCAGCAGGTTTCGTTTGCATCCAATCCAGAAAAACAAACAAAAAAACTGTTGAAGACCTTACCTTCTTCAGATGCAGTGGGTGGAAGTCGACTGGAGATGGTGATCAACCGACAGTGGTGGTCGACTGGTAGAGAGTAGAGGCGACGACACTCGTGTGATTCTCCTTCACGATAGCTAATGAAAAACCGATAGAAAAGTTTTGGAGTATTGTGTAGCAGCGTAGGGTTTAGAAACGATAATAACAAAAAAAAAAAAAGACTCGGTCAGCTACAATTTTTGGATGGCAGGGTAAGACGCATAATGACCCGGTAAGAGGTTAAAAGTGTTGTAATCAAACGCTCTTACCGGACCGAGTAAGAGATAACCTCTTACTGGACCCAGTAAGAGGTAAAACAAACAAGCCCTTAGTAATATAAAACTTAAATAAAAGTTAGTTAACGTGGTTTAAGAGAAAGTTGAACTTAAAAATCTTTAAGATTAAGAACTAAGGAATAAAATTTGAGTAAATTCATTAAATTATGATATGGACTTATTTGCAAGAAATTTTATCGTTTAGTTTTCTATTAGAATATATACAACCAAAAATGTTAATTAACATGTCAAACGAGTAAAACAATTTTTTTTAAGATTTAGGGACCAAACTTGTCTATAAAAAAAACTTAAGTATGATCTTGAATTAACTAGGTTTGGACCTAAAATCTTAAACAACAAAACTTCGAAATTGGTCCATGTGGTTTCCGAAAACATAAAGTTTAGTCTCTAAGTTCAAAAAACCTCACAGATGGTCCCTGTGGTTTCAAAACTTCTAATGTTTAGTCCTTATGGCTAACTCCGTTAGTATTTGTCCATTAAGTGAAGGGCAGTTTCATCATTTCACTACCCGAGGGACTATTTATGAGGTTTTCGCTTTTTTTTTTTTTGAAAAAAGAAGAAAATAATAATATTTAATATGCAAGGGGTCCTACATCTCTCTCTCTCTCTCTCTCTCATAACCAAAACCGTAACACCATCAATTTTTCTATGGATCTGAAAATTAAACAAATATGGTCTTAAAACCTAAATATGTTAAACAAATTGAATCCTCACCGAAAATCACTACCTGTGGGGAGGAGCTTGCAGATCATCAAAGATCAGAGAGATAGAGAAGATAATATCAACATAGATTAAAGAGGGGAAGAGAAAGAGTCTTTGATGGTGGGAGATTGGGGGATCACCGGAAAAGAGACTGTGGGGACTGTAGGTGGCTCGTCGGAACAACAATGAGAGGAAACTTCTCTTTACTTCGCTATCTCGCCGGAAAATAGAAAACACAAATCTCCAACAACTAAGAACCATGTTCTTCCTCAAAAAATCGGCCATGAAAACCTTGAAATCGAACCTTGAAAACCAAGGAAATCAATGTTCAAAAGGTATGAGTGTTTATCATCTGTATATTTATCATCTGAGTTTACAAGTTTCTCTAAAATCAGAACTTGAAACCTTGAAATCAGACCTTGAAAGCAAGCCATATCACCACCACCATGGTTCAACAATTGAAATAGAAATGTTGGTCTCACCATCGTTCATTAGTATGCATCCCCTACTGTGTGTACTTGGGTTTCATCTTTGTTTTTATTCATAATACATCAATTATCATGAAAGTATAAATAGTTGTGTTCTTGTGAAATCAAAAGGAAGATATGGTCTTGTTAATGGGGGGCTAGGATAAATAAAGAATTGCAAGTGTGTATGTGTGTGTGAGTGAGAGAGAGAGGGAAAGGGTGGGATCCCCTTTATATTTCATTTTTTCTTTTTTTTTTAGAATAAATAAAAAATCTCATAAATGGTCCCTGGGTATTGAAATGGCGAAAATATCCCTCACTTAACGGTAGAAAGCTGACGGAGTTAGGCGGAAGGACTAAACATTAAAAGTTTTGAAACCATAGGGACCATCTGTGAGGTTTTTTGAACTTAGAGACTAAACTTGATATATTCGGAAACCATAAGGACCATTTTTGAAGTTTTGTCATCTTAAAAATTAACTTTCTAGAGTTGATGTATAAGTATTAACACTTGTTGGTTAAATCGGAGTTAGTTGGGGAACAACCAGGGGTGTTCGTTTGGATGGATCGGTTTGATCCGATCCAATCAAATGAATCCAAATTCATTTCGGTTTTCAAAAAATGAATCCGAATACTCCAAACTAAATTCAAATCCGATCCGATCTGGTCCGATTACAATTCGGTTGGATCGGTTTTTATAATTCGGTTTTCAAAAACCAAAATATTTTAAAACAACATATAATTATAATATTCTCCAACTTTACACAAGAAATGAAAAACAAATTATTTAGTTGTGATTTGAAATTTATAAACAACTACTAAAAAGATATATTATAGTTAAATATTTTATAGATAGAAAACTTTTGAGAGAAAAATGCATATTAATGTTTTTTTTATCGGGTGAAACGTTTTGAACCTATTCGAAAAAATAAATTACAAAATTAATAAATAACTATAGATATATATTATAAATAAATAATAAATAAATATTTATTCGGGTTTTTTGGACTATCCGGTTCTTATTTCATAAACCAAAACCAATCCGAAATCCAAAATGATAATTCGGTTTTGTTGAAAACCAATCCAAAAAATCCGAATATTCGAACCAAATAGTCCAATACAAATTGTCCAATTGGACAATTCAGTTTTATCCAAATAGTGAACAACCCTAGGAACAACTGAGAAACTTAAAAGTCTTGGGACCAATTTTGCCATTATATAAATTCTGAGTTAAAACCTAATTCTCTTTCTTTTTTCTTGTTCAAATTTCATAGCTATAAAGCCGACGATAGTCTAATTTTTAATATAGATGATGAGATTGGGAACAAAACTGAAGATATAATGGTGTTTTAAGTTAATGATATAAGTTCATCTCTTTGGCAGAAAATAAAAATGGAGTAATAAAGATTTAATTGTGTATTTGAAACCATAGTTTCATGAGTTCATCATTGGATTCAATAGAATTCAATTTCTATGTATAGATTAAGTTTAGAATTGTGTTTTAGGTGTAATTCCAACGCAAATCATGTGTTGAAATTTTCATTTGGTCAAACTTTATTTTATGAAGCTTTGGTGAAGTTTATGAGCTCTAACAATGGTATATCATCCTTGATCTATCCAAAATAAAGTGTGACTATGGAATTAATGTTCTCTTTATGATTTGTAACTAGATTAATGTGTTCTAAAGTTAAAATCATAGGAAATATTTCAATT